TCACTGTATTTCCTAACAACGTGGTTCAAACCCAAGTCCAGTTCATAAAATGTCAATGTCTGTTGTGTGTTGGCTGCTGCTTCTCCAGTGGGATCATTGTCTGCCTCCTAAAACAGAACACATGAAGGTGTCTTTCAAGAAAGGTATTAAAGGAGGAGTAATGTTGTAGAATTGAAATCCAAGAGAAAACTTGCTGGAAGATGCACATAAAAAGGTTCAGAGGAAGAAAATATGCGCTTTTGTAGCTGAACAGCAAGAATTTAAGATCAAGACAGAAGTAGCCAATGTTCCTCACCTCCACAGACAGATTAAGAACAGAAAAGGAACAACAAGGTTCAAAGAGATCAAGTACTTCTCACCTCATAATCCATTTCCAGACAAGCAAACATCGGGTTTTCAAATCCCACATCAACTCCCACCACGTGGTAGACCAAGGTATTGGCCTTGTGGGCTTCCAGCGGGGAGGAAATGGTGAGACGAGCAGCAGCATCTCTGTTCAAGATATACACCAGCTTCTGCTTTTCAATTGCACCTGCAAGAAAAGGACAACAGCATCTGAAGCCCATCACCTGGTGATCAAATCTGATCACACCTGCAGTCCAGTATCAATGTAAGACTTTGCAAGAGAATGTCAGTGTCACTTCTGCTGAAGTTCACCATTGGTATTTATCTTGTGCTACCAATTAACTTCGAATGTCTCATTTTTAATGTTTCAAACCGCAAGCACAAATGACAACTCCAGCTCTTTAAAGCCAAAGACTGGCCCTTCAGACTACATCCATCTAGCCCCATATTCAATCTACAATGGCTACAGACAGACCTACTCACTCATTCCACCACACAAGAGATGACAGACTGCAGGGAAGCAAAAACAAATTGAAAAAAACCAGCCCGATATTCCACCATTTAAAGCAATTTGGCAGAGAGACCTTTCCTCAGAAAAAATTTTTTACCTAAAAAAAAAAGTATTCTTGCCTGATACACAGCATTCACAACATAACAAAGACTTATCACCCTTAACTATCAATGTGGATGGCACAACTGTGACTGTGCTACCTGCTCACGCATGAAAACAAGACTTGTTAGAAAAGACACAATATTATTTATCATTATTACAGATATACAGGAGCACCGTTAAACCACCTATCATTGCAAGTTCCTGCTCTCAGCGTGCAGGAAAGCAGCATCACACAAAGCTAGCTACGGCAAACTGAGAAAGTTCACGTCCCAAGTAACTAAGACACCTCATGGTAAATCTTACAAAAAAATTACCCAAGTGTCCTTCTACCTGTGAAGCCTGACCAGAAACGCATCTAGCTGTCTCCACAATACATCTCAAGAGAAGAGACTTGAATTCATAACATTATTTCAGGCTACGGGAGCTGACTGACTACACTGTAGCACCAACGCCTACACCAACTTCTCTCCCAGACATCACACCTCAGGGCTCTGCACACGGCTAAGCAAGCTGGCCTCTTTCCAAATTGTTTTGGCCCAGCGTTAGAATTAATTTGTGCAATTCCACCAGCATCAAGGAACTATTCTGAATGCCTGCATTCTCCTTGACATGTCTCATAGCCTAACAAACTGTCTGAGAAGAAACACTTCCAATTATACCTGGCAGAAACTCACTCCAAAATAAATATCCCCAAGACAGGAGGAAAAAAAAAAAAATAAGGAGAAAAGAAGCTGACAGACTGACTTACTGATCATGACAGCACGGCCTTTTGGGTCTACAGCCAAGTACTGGCCTGGAACGATTCTGCGACATCCACTCTTGCCAAAGGTTTCCTGATGAATCTTCTCAAACACATTCTTTGAGGGCTGGTACTCCAGAATAACAATGCGTCCCGAATCGCTGCCCACAACGATGTAGTCTTTGGTCCCACCTGTCAGCCTAAAGGCCATGAGGGAGCGAATGACTCCAAACACTTCTACGGTCAGCAGGGTGTGAACCTTCCCCGTGTTGGGATCAGGGCGGAGTAACTCCAGGATCTTGCCCCGGGAAACGACGATTTCTTGTTGTTTCGTTCCTAAAGAACACAGAGCATGAAGAAGAGTTAGCAACAACATACCAGAACATGCAATTTCAAGAAGCACTATGAGAAAGAAGATAAAACTTTATGACTACTAAATACTGAAGAGTTTTATGATTACTATGAAAGAATTCAAAGCAACTTATTCACCACTTTGCATGTCACTACTGTCTGAGCATCTCTTAACAAACCAGGAAAGTGAAACAAATACTAAATTAAATTCATGCATAATCAAGCCAAACTTCTCTTGATCTCTCCACAAGTTACAATAGCTCAAGTAACACACTCAAGAGCAAATGATAATATACCAGCAAAAAAAAAAATACTGAAGCAGACTAGCTTCAGCAACCAAACCAAATAAAGAACAAACAGCTTTTTTCCTCTACTATCAGACAGAGCTCAAGCCAAGATGCACTAAGGAAGGAGATAATTACCTGAGAAATTGCCATGAATAGCATAGCTAATGCCAGTGGCACGCTGCAACGTCAGGTTGTAGAGAAACATGTTGGCAACGGGTTCGCTTCACCTTATTGTAGCTGCACCGAGCCTGCAGCAAGTAGAATAAAAATACATACTTTGTAAAAACAAAGCCTTCCATATGGCACAGAGAGAGAACCACTGCCCTCGTTCATCTGCATGTATCACTTTGTTGAAGATTAACTCTGAAACTTAGCTATCATATCAGGCCAAGATGTTTTTGTAAGCTGGCAAGTAAAGGACACTTAATCATCCTTAATCAGGAAAACAAACATTCAGTATCCTTTAACCAAAAACATCCCAGAGCAACTGGACCTTTAAGAAATGCTGAGAAACTGATAAAAGGGAAAATCCTAACCCAGGAGGCAGCGGAAAACAGTAACGGGGGGACAGGTTATTCCGGCAGGGGGAGATCACAACCACCGACGCAATTTAGGACCAAAAAGATTTGCCCCCCTCCCCCCACCCCCATAAGGAGCATGTGTGCTAATTTACATAGCAAACGAGAGACGGTAATTACTAACCAATCATTGTACAAAAAATGATTACTAACTGTGTAAGTTTTGTGTATAAATGAGGCGCAGAAAGTTTCGTTCCAGGTACTAGCTTTGTGGAATTACCACCTAGCACCCATTTCTGTGCAGAAATGAGATAAAATCAGTATCTCGGCTCAGCGCGTGCACTGGATTGTTGCACACCGGGTAACGAACTCCCTTTGCGAGACCACAACTTTACATTAGAAGACTGACTGCCAACCAGCTCAAGTTATCTGGTATTTATTAATACTACAAAGCAAAAGGCTCTCCCAAAACCAAACAGGCTGCCGAGCATCAGCCGAGATCCTTACTGTCGCATGACTGACCAGAACCTCCAGCTAATTACTCCTCTTACTCTTTTAGCTGCTCAGAAACCAAATGAAGTCAGCAAATCTCTCTAGAGGTGTCCTACACCGTTACACCTCATTGGTCTCGCCGTTTCATTTAACACGAGCCAAGCTACTCCCAACAGCTTGGA